GTGATTGTTAACAGTGGATTTAGATTGTGTGAGCTGTGTAGGATAAATGTATGGTCTATGCTCTAGACAGATAGATGGAACTTCCACGCAGAGAGTGAGTATATTTGACTCTGTTATGTATTCAGGTGCACAGGGACCCCTTATATCATATATGGCTTTATAGGAGACATTTCTCAAATACCTTTTTGTGCATGAGAAAGATGAGGCAAGGACATTAAGAGCAAGGCTCTGATAATACTGCCCACTGTGTAGAAGCATGTAGCTTGAGACTTCAGTAAGACACTATTTAACCCACAAGACTCATGAAGCCTCATCAGAGGTTACATTAAGAATTACTGTTAGATTTACTATTGAAATTCAGGATAAAGGAAGTTGCAAAACTTATCTATCTCTCCAGAATGTTGCATCATTTTAAACTGCCTCCACCTTTTATGGTCACTTGTAAGAACTCCAGAGGAAGAATCATATCTCTTCTTTACTTGTTCTCCTCCTTCTACTGTACTGTGATCCCTTTCATGATAGGTTATTGCTTTTTATCTCCTGGAAGCTCTGCAAAACAGCCAGACAGATTGATTTTCCATTACTGCTATAGGCTATTCCTATTAATATGTGAATAATATTTACTTATTAGATATCATTAAATCTCCCAAAGTATGTTAAATGAATATCCTTGGTCTGGGGGAAGCCCACAGAAGTCAGGTCTAACATCTTTTAATGTTAGCCATACAAATTTATGCATAGGTGTACTAGACCACATGCTTTTATACTAGGCAAAATTCCCTTCTTTCTGCATTATGCTACAGGAAGAAGATCACAAAGAGAATAGCAAGATACTTCTGAATCTTTCAGTGTCAGTTAAAAAAACATTAATTTATTCCTGTATATGTGTATTTTGTTTTTAAACCTTAGTAGCTTTGCTTTAGAATTTAAGGAATCAGTTGTGTAAACTATTTAAAATTCTTCTACTGAAATCCAATACATTTCCTCCATAGGTCCACAAGAGCCACTGTAATTTTGGTAGAAATGCAAGGAGTGTTATGTTAGGAACTCAGTGGAAGGGATGTATAGAAATGTCTGAGAACTCCTGTTATCTGCAGACCATTGACATGGTAGAACATACTGGCACTTTTCAAGAAGCTGTGGAAAACCATGTTTTGTTGCTTTCTTAAGGGCTTTAACCTGTAAGTTGTCATCTAAATACACAATTGTCTATTGGCTGGTACAGGGGGAGCCTGTATCTGCTGATTTTACTGTTCTGCTAGCTATGCAAGGTTATTGATTTAATTTCTTCATGTTTTCTTTCTTTCTTGGAGGAGTTTCTGAGGAAAGCCTCAGTGAGGAAAAATTTCTGTTTCTTTCCCTACAGAACAGTGTAGTACACAGAGTCGCATTACATACACTTGTTAGCAATGTGTTGTCAAGGCAGAATTACCGTGCATAACTTCTGGAATGCCTAGGAGTACTCTTTCAGAAGCATTTTCTGGCAAAAGTTAAGCATTGCTACAGCCTTGGATTTTTATACCTACTTTTTAACAGGTTTGAACAATGGCTACAATATTTATCTGCTGCACCCTCACCCAGAATCTTTTTATTATCCCTACTCCCCACCTCTATCATATTAAGCAGTAACAGATGTCCAACCACAGTTACACCAATCCACACTGCTACCTACAAGCACACCAGCTACTGTACTTTTATCCTCTCTGTACCTTAAAATCCTGCCACTGGGGAATGGAGGGTCTGCACTGAAGCTTTGGATTCTTAGGTGAATTTATTCATCTCCCACTGCTGTTCTGGGTCATTCCTGAGCCTGTTGCACAAACTGTCAGTAACTTGTATGCCAAACTTACATGCTACTGAAAACCAGTAGAAAGATACTGTTAATAATTCAGATGCATATCCTTGCAAGGTTCCATACATATGTTGGTTGCATTGTGAAGGTCTTTAAAGACAATGCTTTCTTTTGTGTTAATACATGTTAATGTTCCATCTGTGTGTGTAGGAACACCCACTATTCCTGGCATCTTGAATCTTATCTCTGCCAAGTTACACAGGTTTAATGTTGGACATTGTAGTGATCTGAGGTAGTTACAGCGATTCTGGATTAATGGAGTAAAGTGAAAAATGAATCATTGAAATAAAGACTAAATTCTACTGAAGATTTTCAATAGCTTCCATCACTATAGAATGCCTCAAAATTTATGTTGTATTTACCCTGACAACACACTTTACTATCATTGTGTCTGGTTATTGTTTAAGGAATGTAGGCATCAAAGTAATTTGCACAGGATCATGTCAGAATGTGAGCTAGAATATGAGTTTTTCTAGTCAAAAATGAGCATCTTGCAGCTTGAGGGGTTATCCTTATCACTCAGAAGTATGCATGGGATTCTCAGTGATGGGATGGGAAACTACTGAAACCAGATCACAATGTGGCATCAATACACCCTTTACAGAAAAAGTGGCCAAGTAAGGCCAGTCTGAATGTTTTGGCCATACTAGCTATCTTTGGAGTTTCTCATGCCAATCCATATTACCCTAGTAAAATGCATAGCTCATTTTGAAGACCTTTCAGATTTAGTTATTTGAAGGACAACCTGGCATTTTCATGTTTCTGAAAAGTTTTCATGTATTTTTTTATGTATAAAGCATAGAAATATTACTGATTAGTTAATCTCCTTCAACACTTTACACCATCAAGACTCTCTTTAACTCAGGGAAGAGGAAAAGAAACATGAAACCTCTAAACTTTTTTTTTCCCCATCTTATAATTTATAATGACTATATGGATAATTTTTGAATGTGCGTAATAAAATCACTCTTAGGCTGGAACATTGTATTTCAAGTTCAAGCTGAATCCAATTTTTACAGGCAACCTGTTAACCTTTAGGCCAAAAATAGTTAGGGTTGTAATGGAAATGCTGATGAGCGTTAATAAAACAACTCTACCAAATGACACAGTTTCATCTAGTATGTATATATACACTATATTACCCTGTTACACATACTGTAAATGACGCATGAAGAAAAAATAACATCAAATACAACAAATGTCTGTCACATTGGTGCAGCGATTTAGAAAAGGTGGTGAATGAGATAAAAACTTTTATGATAAAATAAGAATACTATTTTGTAAGCCCTTCTTCCTGCAGTACAATTAATTATTGAGTTCATTAATTAATGAACATATTAGAGAAAGAACACCGTTACTGACCAGTGGAGACCTGATATATTACTGAGTCAATAAACTATTGAACATGAAACAGGACCTTTCAGGAGAATTTTTTTCTCATAACCCACAAACACATATATTATTCTTGCACAGTCAGCACTTCCTTGGTACCCTTATATTTCATATTACTAATTCTTTTAATCACGCATACATACAGCAGTGTTTTATACCCTAGCTAATGAGTAATTGGACAGGTGACATTGGGACTGAGGCCCTGAAGTGTCAGGCATAATAGAGCAGGGTATTTTTTTTTCCCTACTAGGTTTTTGAGAGTAAAAGATAGTAAAAGAGCAGATAGGATAGGAAGAAGAAGGGATTTTTGTACCAGACATTTGTCAGAGAAATACAATATGGCTTTAAATTGCCATCTGATGCAGATAAATAAGTAAAGAGATAAAACATTTAAAATAACTGAACCTTTTTCATTGTCAGCAACCAAGGAATTTAGCTTAGTCAGGCTAAAGCTGAATGTAATTTTCTTTAAGTCAGTACAGTTAAGGTGATTTTTTTTGGTATGGAAGGGGTGTGTGTGTGTGTGAAGGGGACGTTAATTGTTTGGAAAAGGCAAGAGCCTTCATAATACTTCAGTATCTCAGTGACCATAGGTACTAATCACCCTTCCCCCACCTTAGCCCCCAAGTAATCATTGATTGCATCTAAATCTATTGAGATATCTTTTCCTGGCAACTCTGGTAGTTACAGTAGATTGTTAATCTGTGAATGATCAGAATAAGCCTCTTTGTCTCAGAAATCTCCATGCAACTTACATCTAAATGCATGCCATAAATTTATTAGTAGCAGTTTGAAGTGCACAGGTCATCTTTTACACTATTTAAAAACATATGTCTGTTACACATTAAAAAGAGTCTCACTCAATTTATATTCACTTTTCTGTGGATGTAACTAGCCGCTGCCAAACCTGTGTATTTATTAAAATTATATTTTAAAAGGAGATGAGAAATTAATAAGGTGCATTATTTAAGCAAATTTTAGATCTTTTCATGGGACTTGAGTTTTAGCACCACTGCTTTGAAATAGTTTCATCTTTCGCAAAACAGAGATAGATGTTTGACAAACAGGAAGTACTAAGAGGTAAAGGGCTATGCCTCGATACTGGAGAAAGTAATAGATGCAAAGGAAAGTTATGTGATGTTTTATGAACCAGTCCTATTTTTGTTCCTCGATAATTTTATCTTCTTTTGGAAATACACTGAGTCCATGACTCCCTTCTGTAGCAGAGTTATATCTTATGTGAACCCCAAAAAGAAAACTTGAGAATAACCTTTGGGTTATGGGGGAATGAGAATGAGACCTATACTACTCCTTCTTGTATGTTTTTGTTTCCTCGTTTTACTTTTGATTTTAATCAAGCTGATATGCTGCTATGGTAAGACACCACTAGTAACATTTTCCTTCAGGCAGTTGATGAAAACCAGGAAATTTGTGGAACACCTACAGAATCTTCATCCTACCACTTTTTTTTCTTCCCTAAAGGAAATAGAGCAATTCTTCTAAAGACTTTAGGAATGTGTTCATCTTCATGGGAAAACAGACTGTGTTATTACTGAATAAGTATTTTGGTTGTCATTGCTCAGGGATACTGATGTATGTTTTTGAAAGAAAATTAATCTTTACTTAAAAGAATAAGCATACTTTGAATGTTGGAAGGCTGGTTTTTTTTCTGTACAAATACCATTCTAGCCTTCACAACAAATTTGTACAAGAAGAAAGAAGGACATTAACATGTTTTTTCTGTTTCTTTTTCCAGGCCATCCGCTGTACACTGGTGAATTGCACATGTGAATGTTTTCAGCCAGGGAAGATTAACCTGAGAACCTGTGATCAGTGTAAACATGGCTGGGTGGCACATGGTAAGAAATGTCAATTTGGGTTTGTCTTCTCTATTTTGTGCATCCTTCCTAGTATCTTTAAATACTAAGTGCTCTAGTGATATGTACACGCATGTGCATGCACTCTGGGTTTGTTCATGTGTATGCATGCACAAACTTTTTTTACAGCAATTTCTAGAAGGATGAAAAAGTGAGTGTCTGTTATTCTGTCAACAGTTCCAAGTGCCACTGGAGTTCAACATCTCATGTACAGCTCAAAAGAATACTCTAGGTTCCAGGAAATAACGTAGTTCTAGCAGGGCTTAGCAGAAAGGCAAGAAGTTTATAGTATGGTTGCACAAGAGTTTGCATTACAGGGAAGGGTCAACCAGCGAGTCACTGAGCCTAGTGGAAATTCAAACATACCAATGTCAAACTTTCAGAGCTTGGATGTCAGAATGAAATTAGTGTATCCTATATGGATCAACAAAAGTGTGCATATATGATCTGTGAGTTGAACCACTCTTCCCATGTTTAAATAGCTAAAGAAAGAAAGGGTGAATTAGAATGCCTATATAAAGGCATCATGAGAGACCTTCCATTTTATTTATCCTTTACTATTTTGTGTGTTTGGTGGGTTTGTTTTCTTTGACAGTCTTGATTAAGCCGTGCATGAGTTGCATGCACGTAGTAGTGTTGGAGATTTCTTCTCATGGTCTAGGCTATTGGCAAGCATGGTTTCCATTCCACACTTCTGCCAGACATTCAATGGATTATATTCTATAAATTTTATTTTATTTTGATGACACCTTGGGTGGAAGCTTAGTATTTCCCTCTAAAGATGCACTTGATCTCTATTTATTTAGTTCATGTCTGTGTGTATCTGTGCCTGAGTATGCTGACATATGGCAAGTGTGAATGCTCAACAAATTCAACAGCACAAGCTGAGAAGTTTTTAAAACATTCACATACATGGAAAGGGAGGCAGAAATACAGGTACCATGCAGTCCTGAGACACTGCATAATAGTATATACAGCCTGTCTAGAGACACCCTAACACCACCAATCTGGTAGCTGGTTGCAGATTTATTATATATAGATTCTCTAGGGACACAGCTTATTTTTGCTCCTCTTAATTCCCAGAAAGATATCTTTAGTGACAGTATAACTGGACTCACATTTCTTAGACGGATTGCTAAAACTTGCAAAATTTATATAGTTCAGGCATGCTTCAGGTTTTGTGTAGAATCATCTGAGGTTTTGCCGATCCACAGATAGGGAAGACTTGTCTACCTATTTTCCAGGGTGTCCTCCTTTTGAGTAATAGTAATTAGGAGTCTAGCACTTAGATTCTGGCATATGGACATCCTGCATTTTCTTTTTAACCAGCATATCTTAGAAGAGTGTGATCAGATTTTCCTGATCAATTCTTCCCTGTGAGGTGGCTGAATTCAAACTCAGGATATGTGACAGTAATCCGAGATTACCACAGTATGTATAATAGAAATGTCACTGGTTTAAAAATCCAGAAAGTTGAAAGGTGAAAGTGATAATTTGGGATATACCACCTGCTCCTGTACCTGAGTGCTTAACATTCCAAATAGAAAATTTAATACAGCTATATGTTATTAGAAAGTGTTTGTTTTACTACTGCACCAAGTGAAGAATGCTCTGATTTTATTTTTTTTTAGTGCACTCTGTGTACATTTTTCTGGAGTATTTACATTTTATGGCAGAGCGAGACAAGTCAGATATATGTTTCATATACATACTCAAAGCACAGGCTTATAAATTACTTCCTGGAAACTATGATACATCTGATTTGATTCTTGATCTTAGCTGTTTTCCAGGATTTTGAGGGCAGCATTCAGGAGACTGATCAATTCATTGCACTGTAGCACCTGGATTTCAAAATAATCAAATCACGTTGCTGTTTGGAAGTGAAACCGTTAGCATGGTACTTTCTGAAGTTGTTCCTTGAATGCAAATAGTATTTCCTGCTATTTTAATTAAAGGGTTTCCTTCTGATTTTTGTTAATGAATTTCAACACAGGTCTTTGAGACATAATGTAGTGCTTTACTGAATGTAATTATCAAAGAATAGGTGTTTCCAACAGGAATTACCGTGCTCATTCAGTTCTGGTAATTTAGAATCATAATTAAATGAAAAGATCAAAACTAGCTTAGAACTGCATTCTTCTCGTGCTGTACTTGACTAATCTCTGCAGAATTAATTCATGTTAATAACTGCCATTTAAAATGTTGGAATTTGTGGAGTGAGGAGGAAAGGACATACTGCCACCACAGTATTACTGCACTGAACAACTGCTGGCCTGTTTCCTACTGCTGCCCTGTTTTCTTTTTTCCTGCTTCCATTGTCTTCCTTCCATTTTTCCTCGCTTACTTAAAATGATCTGTGCATGTCTTGAAAGGAAAGGTTTCCTACAAGTTCAATCTCTCCTGTCTGGAGTTGCCAACAGTAGGATTGTCAATATGTGAACAGATTCATCAGAGAAGTTCTTCTGTGGCAAGATAAATGTTTCTGTTGGCAAAAGTTCAGTTTATCGAGTTTTGACCCTGCACCCCTGTGCTACAGTGGTAATCCTACCATCAGTGTTTTTAAGGCTGAAGCCAAAAGCTGTGTAAAGCATAGCAGCTTTCTGTGGTACAGCTGTGCATAATGGAAAATTGGTTATTGTTGGTGTGAATCTCTGGATATTTTAAGGGATTTAGATAACTGGACTGTTTTAATTTGTTTTCAGCTGAAGCCTAGTTTTCATATTGTTAGCTTGGGTGGTGATTTATTTTCTAAAATAAAAAATAACTGGTTTAAATTAAATAAGCCATTTCCTAGGTCTCAAGCAGGCAAACATGTAACAGTTAGATGTTCTTCCTTCTTCTTTTTTTTTTTTTTTTAATGGTTCACATACTTTGTATAGTCCATATGGTGAAAAATAAAATCTCATTAAAATCTTAATAGTCGGTTATTTAAAGAAGAATTTATTTTAACACAGGCAATTGCTATTATGTGGCATTTAAATAATGTAGGAGTAAGATCACTGCAAAATAATAAGACTTTCTTGAGTGCTTGAATTGGTTTCCTTTCCTGCTATTTTCGTTGTATGAAAAGTAACATACTATACTATGAAGATAGTCATGACATTTTACTGGCATTAGCACAAAATCACTTAGTCAAACTTTATTGGAAATAATGAAAAAACACCACATTATTTGCCACCCACTTCTCCTAGCAGAGGTATCTTAGCCTATAAGGAAATTAAGCAAGTCTGCAGTAAAAAGATGTTGATTTCATTGACTTTGAATTTTTCCTTGTATGCTAGTCATTGATGTCAGAACAACTACTGTACTGCTAGCAGAAATACTCTTACTATACCTAGTCCAACAGCTTAAAAGGGCCAATGCAGTATCAATGGGAAATAGAGTGTGCCCTCTCTCATAACCATTTTGTCTAAAAAGATGTGCCAGTGTGACATATGTCATAGTGGACTAAAGCTATTATTTACAACATTCTATTTATTTTAGTTTCAGTATCTCAGACTTAACAGTGATTTTAAAAACTCACAGTATAGTAATATTATTGTTTGTCTGAAATCATTGTCACCTTGTTTCAAAGAGGGTGAGAAAATTAGAAATAGTAGTTCTCTGTCTTGCCCTCAGACTGGTAAAACTCAGACGGCAGCAGCATGTTTTTCAGTTGTTTTTGGTATACTGTGCATTCTTGGACTAGTTGAATTTCATGCTGTTCAGTCTACTCTAAGAAATGAAGTATCCTGTAAATTTATTCGAGTAGAGTGTAGTACCTCTCTGAGGTATGATGAGGCCACATACGGCCCCATTGCCAGTCCAAGACTTGGCCATGTCTTTTCTCTAGTAACTCTGAGATTAAGTTCCTTTTGGTTTTAATGAAAACATTAACTGGTATATTTTGGCAGATAGGGGAAATTCGTTACTCTTTTTCAGTTCTAAAGCAGCCACCCAGTGAAAACTCATGTTCAGAGACTTGCCACGTGGGTTACACTTTCACCTTGTGAAGGAAGTTTTCTGCTGCCAGTATTTATATAATGCATGTACTATCTTGCCATAAATGAGACTAACAATGTAAACAACAACCTCTACTAGAAAATGGAGAATGTCATAAAGTCAGATGCATGACATGACTGTGACTTCTTCATTCAGAAAGGTTAAGAATTCTGAATTTCCATACAGTAGTTAATGAAATGATCAAGTATAAGAAACATGAAGTGAGAACAAAACAAAGGAGGACAGATGTAAATAAGTAAATAAAAGAAAAAGAAGAATGCTGTGAAAATTTGGAAATCGCATTTCTCCCTTAGCCTGAAGTTGCTGAAAGGACTTGGTTCAGGAACAAGGTTTTAAATGTGAGCTGCATGGGAATCAGGCAGGAAGGAAAAGGAGTGCTACTCTGAAATAAAAATCAGCAGGGTTCCTAAATTTGCCTCAGTCCAAATCAGTTAAATGAAAGAAATTCAGATTTGTAAAGTCAATCATCTCTAACAAAACCAAACCAAACCAAACCAAACCAAACCAAACCAAACCACATCACAGATCTTAAGAAAGTCCCTAAAAACTGGCAGAATTGCCATGTTGTTCTTTACTTCAGAATGGAGATAATAGAGAATAAATACTAAAAAAGGAAAGGAGGAATGTAATACTATTGTTACAGTTTACTTGTAAAGTGGTTATTTTTCTGTTGTTCCATGGGACATAAAAAATAATGACAATTTTAGTGTACTGAACATACTTGTTTTGTTCTATTCCGTTTATTTAATGATTTAAAGTGGTTTAAAATTACTTGAGAACATATTTATTTTTTTTTTAGTTACATAAAGATTTTTTAGGAAAGTGATTATCTACAATTTATTGATAACAAAGGCTAGTTCTTCATGACTTTTAAAGTAAAACTATTTTAGATCTAGCCTGGATTTTCTTGTCTTTCACTGACAAAATAATTTTAATCCATCTGTTAACATCCTTTTGACCCTGAAGGCTGGGGCATATTT